ATGTTGAGTCAGCTAAATTTTCATTTTCCTTTAACCAGTATCTGTCCTAATTGAGTAATGTGTGGATCACTTTTAAATGAAAAAAGTTATCATGGAACCTTTCCCCCAGTGTTGAATTTAACTAATTTTGCATTACTTAAGTAGGTAAAAACAAAATAATATATTAGCTTTTTACACTTACGGCACTTCTACTATAAATCTAAATCCATAATGTCAGTGTAATGTTCAGCTAAAATTAAATTACTGCTTGCACGTGAAAATAGTACTAATTGCCACGTGCCAGATACCCTGTATGGTTACTTAGTTCTACCTACTTGTCTCTAGTCTAATTTCTACAAAATCTTTGTTGGTGAACCATGACATCATTTGGTCTTCACTGAGCACAGAAGCATTATTTACTTACTGTGGTAAATTTGTACAGCATCAGGCCAGCCCAATCATAAACTAAATACAGCCACTGAAATCATGTGGTAGTCATCAGTTAAATGAATTAAAACAATTCTTTCACCAGTTCTCAGGGAGAACTTGTAGCTCCCAGAGATGATGCAAAGATCCCCTAGGGATTTGAGAAACACTTTCCGAAGAACTTTTCTACCCTTATGTCTGAAGCAATAATTAAAGGTAATGAATGCCAAGGGCCGGCCCGTGGCTCTCTTGGGAGAGTGTGGTGCTGATAAAACCAAGGCCACGGGTTTGGATTCCTGTATAGGGATGGCCGGTTAGCTCACTTGGGAGGGCATGGTGCTGACAACACCACGTCAAGGGTTAATATTCCTTTACTGGTCATCTTTTTAAAAAAAAAAAAAAAAAAAAAACATTAAAGGTACTACCAGGTGTAGACTTTAGAAAATTATTTTACCCAAAGGGAAAATAATTTGTCCAGATCATATATTTTTATCTGTTCATCATAGCATTGATTACTGAAATGTTTACATGTCAGCTTGGTTTGTGTTAATGTGCTCGTGGGGCTTTCAAAATTGTTGGGGCAGTTTTAAATAGTCAAAAATCATTCTGAGCAAAAGATTCAAATGAGATTTAAGGACTCATAATAAGATTTTGGGTTGAGTGTATTTCCTAAAATGCACTTGGTCTTT